CCGCTCGGGGCAGAGTCGGTTCCTTTGGCACCCGCCTCGGGCAGGGCGCGGACAAAGCCAGGCCGGGGGGCGGGGAGGTATAAATAGGCGCAGGATCAGGTTGCATCTGGGCCTAGTGGGAATCGCTAAGGGGCGGGGGTGCTCGGGCCCCACTATAACGGCTGGATCCTGCGCCCAGTGGCGTTAGCTTCCCCTCGCGGGCACAGCCCAGGGCAACCGCTGCCTCTTCGCAGGGCCGGGCCGCACCGCCGGGCAGCCCGCGCCCAGAGCTCGGCCTCCCCGCCTCCTGCTGGCGCTTTGCCCTGCCATTGGGCGAAGGAGACGCCAGTTCAGCCGCCTGCCCTGGCCCAGCCCCCGTGGACTTCCGTGTTGCCTAGTACCTAGCAAGCCCAAGAGCCGCTAGCTGAGGGCGCAGGTACCGGGGCTGCTGGATTCGCTCCACCGCCTCCACCTTCTCTTCTATCCTAGGCGGGAAGGAGCTTGCGGGAAGCATCGGCTACTCATTGCGGAGCAGTTCGTGGTGTTACAGGGAGCAACAGCCTGACTAGGCTCTTTGCCAGCCAATTCCTGCTTTGTAAGTGCCTGTACTAATTTTTAAAAAGCCCTTTGCTTTGAGTTGCCTGCATGTCAGTAGTAAAGTAAAGAGGGATGCTGGGGGAGAAAAAGTGCAGCGTGCCACCCAATTCCATTTACATATACTGGGCTGGCAGAGCTTTTATGAAAGGGTACTTATGGGAGGCAGGAGCACTAGCAAGTAACCTCATCGATAATTTAATAGTATAGGTACAGGTAAAATAATAAAAAAAGGCTGGACAGCATAACATATATTGCCATGCCAATGCCACCCTGGCTGGGTTTATAGGAATTAATTGGGATCAACTCTTGTGATCTTATTGACAGAATCACATAAGAGCACTGCTGGGCTGAAACCATTTCCTCAGTGAGTCATCATCATTAGAAGGCATTTTTATGTTCAAGGGGCAGGAACAGTTTAACTTGGGCAAGCTACTTCCAGGCCACTGCTTCAGGACTTAGTTACTAAGTTTTGTGGCTTCATAACAGTGATGGATGGCATTGCTTCTTACTTCCTAGATAAAATATTAATGGATGTATCAATGCTTTTGTAGATGGCAAGTGACTTTTTTGCTTCAGTATTTAATTCTGATGTAAGTTTTGTATTTGTAGTTGTGGATGCAGTGAGGGGGGAAACACTGCAAAGTGTTGCTCAGTGTTTGTAAAAACAAACCATAAATAAGATAATTTCATAACCAGTGAGCTAAGTATAATCCCTCAGAGTTCTATAAACAATCCTTCTGCATTAACCCCTTTTTGCGAAAGTTCTAACTTTTACAACTCAAATAGATTATTATAAATGTCCTGGGGATACTCATTCATTCACATCGCACAATTAAACAGGAATTTCATAGTGGAATGTGTTTTATATCAGAAATGACAGTTATTACTTAAGAGCTGAAAGTGTTTACATTTTTAAAATGATGATATAACGTATTTGTTGCATGAGGTCCTGATAGGTCCCTTGTTTTGCTTCTATGTCATCATCCCTTTCAGTAGTTAAGTACACTGAAGATTCCTTAATATTCTGAAGCTCTCTTGTTTTATATAGTGATATTTCAGACAATTCTCAAAACATTGTGGAATCTGGTTATCTTTTCTGCTAATGAAGCATTCTACTATAGTTAAGGTGTTGCCTCTCCTAAAAATGTCTCTGTTTATATATGAAGCAAAATGCAGGACAATGTAGCACTTTAAAGACTAACAAGATGGTTTATTAGATGATGAGCTTTCGTGGGCCAGACCCACTTCCTCAGATCAAATAGTGGAAGAAAATAGTCACAACCATATATACCAAAAGATACAATTTAAAAAAATGAACACATATGAAAAGGACAAATCACATTTCAGAACAGAAGGAGGATGCAGGGGTCGATGACAACTTTATGATCTGGACGCATGGCCAAGAAACACTGGAGATATTCCACAGAGATTTCAACAACCTACATCCCACCATCAACCTCAGCCTGGACCATTCTACACGAGAGATCCACTTCCTGGACACCACAGTACAAATCAACAATGGAAAATTAGACACCACTCTCTACAGAAAACCCACCGACTCATACAGTTACCTACATGCTTCCAGCTCCCATCCAGAACACACCAAAATCACATTGCAGAACAGAAGGGGGATGCGGGGGGGTGGGAAGGGGGAGGAAGGAAGGTAAGTGTCTGTGAATTGCTGATATTAAAGGTAGGGAGAGTGGGATGTTTGTGAGTTAATGGTATTACAGGTGATAATTGGGGAAACTGTCTTGGTAATGGGTGAGAAAGTTCAAAGACTTGTTAAGTCCTTGTTGGTAAGTGTCGAATTTTAACATGAATGACAGTTCAGAGGATTCCCTTTCAAGTGCAGATGTAAAAGGTCTTTGTAGCAGAATGCAGGTGGCTAAGTCATTTAGAGAGTGTCCTTTCTGGTTAAAGTGGCAAGAAACTGTTTTCTCTTTGTGATCTTGTCTGATATCTGTTTTGTGGGCATTAATCCTTTGGCGAAGTGTCTGAGATGTTTGTCCAATGTACATAGCAGACGGACACTTTCGGCACATGATAGCGTAGATTATATTTCTGGATGCGCAGGAATATGTGTTCTTGATCTTATAACTCACTTGGTTAGGTCCAATAATGGTATCAGCAGAATGAATATGTGGACAAAGCTGGCAACGGGGTTTGTTGCAAGGGAAGGTACCAGGGTTGGTATTAGTGTGGTATGTCCTGTGGTGGTTGGTAAGAATCATCTTGAGGTTAGGTGGTTGTCTATAGGAGACTATGGGTCTGTCTCCCAGAGCCTCTTGGAGTATGGTATCCTGTTCCAGTATAGGGTGTAGTTTATTGATAGTGTGTTGGACAGGTTTAAGTTGGGGGTTGTAGGTGATGACAAGTGGTGTTCTATTGTTGGTTTTCTTGGGTCTGTCTTGAAGTAGATGGTTTCTAGGTATTCGTCTGGCTCTTTCAATTTGCTTTTTTGTTTCTCTGGGTGGGTAGTTGAGATTTATAAATGCTTGGTAGAGATCCTGAAGCTTCTGGTCTCTGTCAGTGGGGTTAGAGCAGATGCGCGGACTTTGGACATGCCTGCTATAGATGATGGATCGTGTGGTGTGTTCTGGATGGGAGCTGGAAGCATGTAGGTAACTGTATGAGTCGGTGGGTTTTCTGTAGAGATTGGTGTCTAATTTTCCATTGTTGATTTGTACTGTGGTGTCCAGGAAGTGGATCTCTCGTGTAGAATGGTCCAGGCTGAGGTTGATGGTGGGGTGTAGGTTGTTGAAATCTCTGTGGAATATCTCCAGTGTTTCTTGGCATGCGTCTAGATCCTAAAGATGTCATCGATGTACCGTAGGTAGAGAAGGAGTGAAAGGGGACGGGAGTTGAGGAAACGTTGTTCTAGGTCAGCCATAAAGATTTTAGCATACTGTGGGGCCATGCGTGTACCCATGGCTGTGCCGCTGATCTGGAGGTATAAGTTGTTCTCAAACTGGAAATAATTGTGGGTGAGAACAAAGTTACATAGGTTCTATGGCAGTGCTATCAGGCTGGCAGTGGTGTCCTCTGGGATAGTGTTTCTAATTGCTTGTAATCCGTCTTCATGTGGGATGTTGGTATATAGAGCTTCTACATCCATGGTGGCAAGGATGGTGTTATTGGGGAGGTTATCGATGTTTTGTAGTTTATATATTGTACTTTTTTTTTTTTTTTTAAAGAATTCTGATTGACAAAAAGTAAATGTTTTATAACAAGCTAGTCACCATATTGGAACATTGATTGAGGCTTGCTTTCCTATTGGAAAGCACACAAATCTGACTGTAAGAAGATAAATACCACATAAATCTGACTTCAAGATGATGAATACTATCTACAGAATACCATAACCATGGTAACATTGCTAAACTTTTGAAAATGAAGGGAATTATTTTAAATTTGCATTTTAAAAAAGATTTTTCAGGGACTAAAATCTTTTGAATTGGGTATTTTTATATATTTAATTTCCAGCAGGATTTCCTTCAGCTTTTATCTCGTCTAGCCAGTCACTAATTGCTGGGGAAGTGTCTGGTGTGAAGGCCTTTAGTATATACCCTCAATTATATGAGTTATTTTCCCAGGCATAAAAAAAATCAGCTCTACCTCCCATAGGAGTACACCCACTATATGGAAGCTGATTCTAAAGAATCTGGAAGTTAGTCCTATTTCCCTGGCTATTGGTAAGAAGTAGGAGCTGTGTCAGAACTCCCACTTTCCCCATTGTTGGGGCAAAAATAATCTTTTCCCTTTCCCATAGAAGCTGCATTTTCTCCATCCTGTCTTTTTTGTTGTTGTAGGGGAACTTGCTTTCCTCTCAACCCTAGCACTTCATGCTGCTGCTTAGAGCAAACGTGGGGAACCTCAGGCCTGGGGGCTGATGCAGCCCTCCGCTTACGTGGATCTGGCCCCTGAGAGTTGGGGCTGAGCCCATGCTGTTGAGGGATGTTTTTTTTCTCATTTGTGTGCAGTCCCTGACTGTTTTTTGTGGGTCAGTGTACTCTGACCCAAAAAAGGTTCCCCACACCTGACTTAGAGCTTTCTCAAGCAGCAACAGAATGAAATTGACAAGACTAGGCACTTGCACTGCTTCTACTCAATAGCCTCATATCAATTTCACACTACTGCTGTCTGAAAAAGCACTGAACAAGTAGCAGGACATTGGAGTTCTGTTTTTAGAAGCAGACAACAATGATCACACTTGGAAATTCATCTTCATGACCATAAGAGATGGATTTCTATAAACATTTTTAATTCTTATAGTTCCTAATTTATGAGGGAGAGTTTCTTTGTCTCTGGTGACTGGAGTTATCAAGGTCTGAATATTGCACAGATATTATTGCAGTAGTAAAACTGGTTTCTGAAAAACTTCTAAAAAACCCCAAATAGTCTTGCAGCACCTTAGAGACTAATAAAACATGTAGATGATACCATGAGCTTTTGTGGGCACAACCTACTTCTTCAGATGAATGGTCTCAGAACCATTCTACTTCATTACCCATTCTTACTACAGATGCTATTCTTGTATTCTCTCTCTCTCCGTCTCCCTCCCCAGTACATATATATCCAAATACACATGCTCTTGGGATCAAAGTTTGTGAATATTAGCTGGGAGTCCATAGAGAGCTGGCTGGTCACATTCTAGCTGCATAGTCACTTTAAAAGATAGCTAAAAGTATAATAAATACTTTCCTAATATTACTTTCCCATGTGAGGTTACTGTAAGTTGCTACAAGATAGTTATGTGATTATAAGTGAAGGGGATATGATTGGTTGTACATGGCAGGAGAGTTTGTCCAAGAGACAGTTTGTCTATTTAGATGCGGTCCATCTTACGATAATTCTTGAGGTATCATTGACATGATATATTAATTTTGTATATGTAAAATGTTGAATGCAATAAATATTGGGAGTTTGACTTTGCAGTGGATTGTAACTATTACTTTCATTGGTTCTGTGCATTATGGTGGTGTCTTTTATTCTGTG